TAAACAATCACGAGACCTCTTAGCACTATGTGTAGGAGAAAGATTTGACACTTAAATGTCACTATAGATTTTGGATGTTTTTCCTAATCTATATTATCAATTGTTTAATAACAATTATTGTAATGCTTAAGGCATGGAAATTTTATTAAGCAAATTCATAGCTTTGGAGTATTTTAAGAACTGTACTCCAGAACAAAATTGTTCTTCATGTATATGTTCATGTTTGAAACTGACAGAAATACTATCAATATTCTAGAAATGTATCCTACAGGAGCAACAAAAAGTATACACAAAAATTAGACTATAAGCTCATATAGTAACAATACTTATAGTATTGTTTACAACGTTTTTAAAAAAGGGTAAACAATCTAAGTGTTCAAAAACAGAATCACCTTAGACTTTAAAAAAAAATACAATGCCCTACCCTGTTTCTGATCAATTCAGTCAGGACATCTGGGAGGAGAGACTTAGGCACTGCCATTTTTAAAAAGCTTCTCTACGGGGTTCTAACATGCAGTTATTCAATGCACCATCCTAGATAAATTTACCCAGCCTTATCTCTCTATACACCACTAATACGTTGAAGGGGTTCCAAATTTACATCTTTAACCTGAAACACTCCCCATTCAAATTCCATTCTTATAAACCCAACTATTTGTTTAACATTGCTCCATGAATATCTAATAAACATCTCTAATTTAACATGAACTTTTATTTTTACCACACTCCCATTTCCAACAAACATTTGATTCTGTCAGCTCCAAGTTCAAAATACATCTAGAATCCAACCAATCCTCACCAACCCCACCTCTTCTATCCTGCCCACTTCATGTCTCAGCCTGGGTTTTATTGCAATAGCTTCTCAGCACAGCTATCAGAGTGATACATTTAAAATGGTAACTTAGGTCTTTCCTCTGCTCACAACCTTTTAATGGTTTCTCATCACAGAATAAAAGCCAAGTCTTTAAAATGGACCTAATTAGGGGCGCCTGGGTGGCTTGGTCGGTTGGGCATCCGACTTCAGCTCAGGTCAGGATCTCACGGTCCGTGAGTTCGAGCCCTGCGTCGGGCTCTGTGCTGACAGCTCAGAGCCTGGAGCCTGTTTCAGATTCTGTGTCTCCCTCTCTCTCTGCTCCTCCCCAGTTCATGCTCTGTCTCAAAAATAAATAAAAGTTAAAAAAAATTAAAAATAAAATAAAATGGACCTAATTGGGTCTCTCACAACTTGTGATTTTACCACCTCTCCTTCCACTATCTCCCTAACATGCTGTACCCAGCCATATTTGCCTCCATCCTGTAAGTAAGACAGACCTGTTTTGCCTTAGGGCCTTGGCAGGCCCACTGCCTGGGAGGTCGCTCAAATATCCTCACTTCTTTTAGACTGAAATGCAAATGTAACCTTATCAATTAAGTCTTCCCCATATACCCTAAATAAAAATAGTATCCAATCCCAATACTCTCTATCCCTTTTCCTTTTCTCCAGAGTACATATCACCATGTGATATACCATATATTTGTTTACTGTCTTCCCCCCTAGATAGAAGTTGAGGGCAGGGATTTTATTTATGACTATATCCCTAACCCTGATAATGTCTGATACATTATGGGCCCTAATATATATCTGATGATGAATGAATATGTAGAGATATTTTCTCCACTATTTTTTCCCAGTTAGATAGCTAAACATCCATTCTTATGCTTACTATACCATTGCAATTTATAAGCAAATTGAACCTTTACAGTGTGCTAATTGATATGGAAAAGTTTGACATGACATGGTTTGACAGGTTAGCAGTGGGGCTATACACCATATACAATCATATACACATATGTGTATATATATTTGTGTGTGTATATGTATATAAATATTTGTATGTATATAAATATTTGTATGTATACACCATATACAACCATGTTGCTCCATCACTGAACAATCTAGTTGAGGAACTGCAAAGAATTTAGTGATCCGAACCCCACAATTTTTTCTCCCCAGAGTACCAACAATCAATTCTGTAGTCTTAATATCTTCGTGACAAGAGCCATTAGCACTTTCTTTTGTATCCCCTGAAAAATATTTTAACTGGCATCACCTGCCCTGTACATTCAAAACTAATTAGATAAAAAGCTGAAAGCAAAACTGAACTGCCTAAATCATATACACAGGGCTATCTGCAAAGTAATGGATTACATAGTCTGTATTGTGTTAGTTGTGAACAGTATGAATGGCCTTAATACTCTTACAGTTCATACATTTGGTCCCTAGTCCTTACCCACCACCTCCTCCCCACCCCAACCCCGCACAATTACACCAAATTATTAAAAATTTTAAAAAGGAATTGAATATAAGCCTGGCATAAATCTGAAATCACTAGAGCCTCCAACTTTAAATCATTTGCCTACTGAGAGCAGCCCTCAGATGACTGTGACTCAGCATTTTATGGTGCCTGACACATGAAATGAGATAAAGGTCTTGTTCCCTTCATGGCATTAGTTAAATATGGAGCTAAAATAAAAGAGCTACCTTAAAAACACAAAGCCAGTGGCTGAAATATTATAGTGCTCACAATGACACAGGTTTGACTCAGTATGTGATGACAGGGAGGAGAGCATGTGTCAGCTGAAACACACAGAACTGTTCTGAAATAACTTGTTGACCTATAAAATTAGCAAATAACCATACTGACTACAATGAACACTCAGCAATGGAGAAAATATAAGTAAATGAAAACAAAATTAAAATATGAACTATGGTGCTGGCTTAGAGACAGGTAAAAAAAAAAAAAAATAACTTTGAGCTAAGGAGGGAATTTACCCAGCTACTCTTCAATAGAATATCAGAAACTAAAATTGAACTAAATGAGGATTTTTTTCCTTCTTGTAAAAAAAAGTTTGAGTAAAACTGAAACAGAAAAGTCCAGCTCTTTTTGACTCTTTATGGGCAAAAAAAAAAAAAAAAAAGGATGAAAATAAGGTAAACTACATAAAGGTTGCAATAATGACCAAGTTTTCAGTTCATATTCTCAGGTGGAGCGGGAACTGTTGAATGAAGAAGAAAGTATGGTAATTGGTAAGCTGGGAGATCTGGAGAGGTGAGATCATGAAAAAGGACTGAGGGGCATTCCACATAGGCAAGGAGGAAGCTGGGGAATCCCGCTCAGGAAGCCAGGTATTTAAACGAATAAAGACAAAACGAATAGACAGATATGGAAACAGCCTACAGGCAAATGGGTAAAAACCAACTGCTAATATAGTTGGTTTTAGCTCCTGTTCTAAGTATGCTACTCTTTTAATCCTGAAAATAAGCCAATGACACAAATACTATTAAATCTAACTTGACACGTGAGGCAATAGCCTCAGAAAAATTAAGTAACTTGCTCAAGGTCACATTGTAATAAATATCAGAATCAGGCCACCAACCCACATAATCTAACTTCACTACAACTTTACACTGCTTTTTATGAATGTCTCAAAATGTGAAAAGGAAGTGGGGAAACTGAAATTACTGAGGCCTTTACTGCATTCAAAACCAGACCCTGTGGGGTACAGAAGAATGAATTTCCCCTGAGTAACCTACAGCCTATTAATGGAGTTCAGACTCACACCAAAATACTATTTAAATTGCACATCAGACCCATCTAGGAGAGGCACAAACTTAAGGTAGTGGAAACTCAGATGAGACAGTGGTATTCACCGGATTGGGGAATCAAAGAAGACTTCACTGAAAGAACAGCATTTGGGGTAGGATTTGAAGAAAAGGTAAGAGTTAGGTGGAAACAGTACCATGACTTCCCATCAATTACTCCCCAGGGTTTTCAGGATAAATTTTAAACTCCTGGGCATGGTACTCCAGGCCTTCCACAACTAGGTCTGGAGGAATGCCGAGGAAGAGAGCTTAGCCTGAGTGAGATAATTATGTTGGAGTCTTTACCACCAGTTCAGGTTGCAAAGGATCAGAACATTTTATTTTCCTGTCCATAAATCGTTAGTGAGTTGAAGGCAGGCACTAGGGCTTATTCTCTTGTAACACCCCTCCCCCAGTCCGCGTCTGTACCATCACAGCACGTGGTAGGTGCACTGCAAACATTTTGAAAAGCGAATATAAATCTCAACGGGCATCAATCACCAGGTGATTTTGCGTCCTGTCAGGCTGCCTTATACCATCTAGAATTCTGGTGTTTGCTAATTTTAAAGCTATCAAGTTAGAGACTTAAACACATGACCCAGACCCAACGGGTCGGCCTTAATTTGGATCCCGAAGCCATAAACAAATTGTGAAAAGACAATTTGTGATTAAGGCAATTGTGAAAATCTGAACATGGGCTAAATGTGATGACGTGATTATGCCTTAAAAACTCATGTTAGAGACATATATATTTATGTTTATGAATAAAATGGTTTCCCTTAAAACACTTAAGATTAAGGAGTGTGAGGCTGGAGGAGATGAAACAAAATCGGTAAAATGTAGCTAACTGTTGTACTCCTCGGTGTAACATACTACCTTTGGTGTTTAAAAATTCCTTAATACAAAACAAACACGCAGACAGAAAGACACGCACACCCACCCCCCAGGAGCTGTTTTTCTCGTAGCCCCGAGGGAACTAGACGCAGAGAGTCCACCTGCGGCATCTCCGATTCAGAGGACGACCTCAACGGGGCCTCCCGCGGGGGCCCGGCCCGGTTTTCTCGCCCGCCGGATTCGAAGCTGACCAAAGGGACAGCCTCTTCATCCCCTCAGTACCCTCCATAAACGCCTTTCGCAGGGAGCTGAATCCTTGGAAAGCGCAGATCACTGTTGTCTCAGTTTCCCAGGGCTTGGACCCTGAGCAAAAGCGAGCCCACCGCAAGCTCGGGCACCACCACCACCAGCTCGGTCACCACCACGACCCTCAACAGCCGCTGCCAAGCGCTCGGGGCGGACTCCGCGTAGCGACGTCACGGCGCGCCGTGCGCCGGGTCAAAGTTCAGCTCCGCCCCTCTTCCCCCTCGCTGTCTTCCTCGGCCTGCGCTGCCGCCGACGCCGCTGTGGGCCTGGCTGCGCTCCGTCGCCTTCTCCTCTGAGCGCTTCCCAGCCGGCCGCCATGGCGAACGTGGCCGACACTAAGCTGTACGACATTCTGGGCGTCCCACCCGGTGCCAGCGAGAACGAGCTGAAGAAGGTAGTGGGGAGCGGGACGGGCCAGGCAGGGTGTGAGGGGCGCGGGCCTGCGTGGCTGGGGCGGCCAGGCCGCGCTACGGGGCTGCCCACGAGCCGGCGCCGGACGCGGCGGGCCCAGGCTGGGGGGCGGTGGCGGCGAGACCGGCCTCGGCTGACCTTGGGCTGACGGCCCCGCCCGCCCGCAAATGCAGCAAATAAAACCCACCCCTGCGCAAACACCAGAAGAGCGCTTCCTTCCTGTCTCCCCCGGCGGGCGCCGGAGGTTGGGCGCTCCCGGGAGGCTGCAGCCTGCTCGGCCCTCCCCGCGCGGAGGTCACCACCCTGGAAAAACAGGTTGGACAGAGGCGCGCAGCGCATCTCGCCCCGGGAGAGAAGTTGTCCACGTCGTGGTAGTCGGCGTCGGAGCCGAGTCGGGGTTGGGTCTAGGGTCTGGCGGGAGGGTTGAGGCCGCCCCCGTCGGTGCCTCCGGGCAGTGGGGGATGTTTCCTCGGTGCCGCGGCCGCAGGAGCACCTCGCTCTTTTCCTCCTCCGCTCACAGACCCTTGGGTCTGTGTTCGGATGTATTGTTCTGTGGGCAGGTAACCTAGATGTTCTGTATCCGCTTCGGGAATAAGCCGTGGGTCTCGGCCAAACACCTGAGTGCACACTAAAAATAAATATAAGACCTTATTGTTGTTTGTAGTGCTGCGAATCTTTGATCTAAGGATTTCAAGGCACTTGCGGCATTTGATTAAACCCTGTACCGTCTTCCCCGATTTTAGAGTATCCAGATTTGTAAGCTGAGAAAAAATGAGAATGCTCCTTAGGCACTGGGACCAATACAGTTGAGAGTAAAATGGACTTCCTGTTACCTTACCGGAAATGCTAGTCTGTATTATATAATTTCATGTGTCTGTGAATAAAGACTTAAGTGCTGTATATCCCAGCCACCTAAAATGTATGCAACTTCGCGAAGACTGAGGTCACTCCAATTAATTAAGACCCTAATAAATCCACCACATGAAATATTAAAAGCTTCTCCTGGTATTTCAACCAGAGGAAAGGCAGGAGCTATCCTGAGCAGAGATTCTTAGTTTAATTTTTAGTAGTAATGTTTTGCAGTTTGCTAAGCTTGCCAGTCATTTCTTTCTTTTTTTTTTTTTAATTTTTTTTTTAACGTTTATTTATTTTTGAGACAGGGAGAGACAGAGCGTGAACAGGGGAGGGTCAGAGAGAGGGAGACACAGAATCTGAAACAGGCTCCAGGCTCTGAGCGGTCAGCACAGAGCCCGATGCGGGGCTCGAACCCACGGACTGCGAGATCATGACCTGAGCCGAAGTCGGCCGCTCAACCGACTGAGCCACCCAGGTGCCCCTTGACAGTCATTTAAGAGTTCATTGGAGTCATCTTGGTCTGGTTACTGGCCATCAAAGTCATTTGACAATAGTGAAGATGCAGAATTTTCCAGTATTTTGGTTTTTCTCTGGCATTGTTCAAGTATAGCTGCTGTCTGCTTTTTTGGATCAAGTTAGTGAGTAAACAGTATTGGGATGGATAAATTAGTAATTATGAATCTAGATGCCAAACAGTCTTAGTGAATAAAAGATAATTTTTGGAAGGTTCTGATTTTAGAACAATTGCTTCTCAGAAAAATGGATATTTAGTACTCACAAATCTTTAAAGCAGATTTTGTATGTAACCTTTTTTAAAAATTCTCTTTTTTATTGAAGGCATACAGAAAGTTAGCCAAGGAATATCATCCTGATAAGAATCCAAATGCTGGTGACAAAGTAAGTTGACACTTTTCCCCATGAGGTTTCAGTTTTAAATTGCCCTCCTTAAAAACAGGAACGTTGTAAGAAAAGTCCCATCTATGCCTGTAGAGCCAAATCTTTACGTTAAGAATATTTTGGTTTTATAATGGGAATGCGGGTCTTTACGTTAAGAATATTTTGGTTTTATAATGGGAATGCCCGCATTCCGGGCAGAGGGAGGTAGGACCAGAATCAAACAAATGTAATTTGTAGCTTTTCTTTTAGATTCCAGATTCCCTTAACCTTTCCCCCACTCTTCTTCCTGAGAACCCAATTGTTTTCCTTGTTACTTTTCTTTATAGTTCAAAGAAATAAGTTTTGCATATGAAGTACTGTCAAATCCTGAGAAACGTGAATTATATGACAGATATGGAGAACAAGGTCTTCGGGAAGGTAGCGGCGGAGGTGGTGGCATGGATGATATTTTCTCTCACATTTTTGGTGGGGGATTGTTCGGCTTTATGGGCAATCAGAGTAGAAGTCGAAATGGCAGAAGAAGAGGAGAAGACATGATGCATCCACTTAAGTAAATATCTTTTTTCTTAAAAAAATATTAAGTACTACTTTTTCATGTAGTAATGCTCAGTAAAGAGAAATGTATTAAAAATGTTCATCCTTTGTCAGAAAAAAAAAAAATCTTCCATGTCCTTGCTATCTTCTTTGGGTGACTAAATTGAATTTGGTAACCTAGGTGTTTGTACTTTGCTACAGATCAAGTTACTTTTTGTTTAAAAACTTACAAAGTGAGTGACTCTCTGACTAGTTTGTTTACACTGTTACAGTCACTCATTACTTGATCCTCAGTGTGAACTCTCCTAAATTGGTTTCCATGGAGCTTGCTGGCTTCAAGCCTGACATTAACCTGCCAACATATGAATGGTGTCTGACCTTGATCTTAGACTGCTAACCACCGATGGCCCTCTACAGTATGAAAATAGCTATTTTACTTTGCAAAGTTTGTGAGGTCTTTTATCCTCTTTGCGAACAAATAACGGTTTCACTAGCAAATGCCAGAGACTTGACTTTCATCATTTATTTAAAATATTTCATATTACCTAATTTATATATTTGAGTAGATTAGAGGAAGTGTAAACTGTTACATTGTTTGAATCTCATTCTCAAATTTGTATTTTAAAAGAATTTATCCTCAGAAATTATCATTAGGATATTATTCGAAGAGTAATACTTGTATGGTGTGTGTTCTTTTTTCTTTGATACAGAAGTGATCTAAGAAGTAAATAGGATCAAGAGAGTGCTTGCTGCACCTTAATAAATTCTTAATATTCTCCTTAAAATTTTTTTCAAATTATATAGTAAATGCCTGTTTTAATATTATTTAGAATTTACCTGTTGTTACATTTCATTTTGGGTGGCTTTATAATATTCCATTCCATGATTTAATCATTCACCTTTTCTATAAGCTGTTGCTAATATTTTTCTGTAATGAGTAACTGCTTTGAGTATCTTTATATACAGCTTTGTCTCTTCTTGGCAGAGATTCCCAGGCAGGCATCAGTGTTTTGAGGCTGATAAATACAACTAAATTGCCTTGTAAAGGATTGTGCCAGTTTAGCACCATTGGTGGATAGTGCCAGCTTGGCCAGACTATTACCCACATTTTTTGTCCATTGGCCATGTTGAAGTGCGTATTTTTCTGGCCTCTTAGATAGTGGTTTTGCGTACTGATTGCAGTTTAATATACAAGGAGGAAAAGACATACCTATTTTTTTTTTTCTGTAAATGATTTGGTTAAAGATTGTTGTGAGTACTAAAAGAAAGATGCAGCCAATTGCTTTTGTCTAAGATTAAGCTGTAGCCATGTCATTATTTGCAAGTGTTGATAATGTTTTGTCCCTAAGTGTCTTATTCTTATACTGCCTAGAATGTGTACAAATATTAGCTTGAAATAATGATTTTGGGAAAGTTTGAATACCACAAAATAAATATGGGTGCTTTGCAAATTACTTTTAACTATTGTTGCTCTATTTTAAAGTAAATCTTTACTGCTGAAAGAAATTTAAAAACACAATGAGATGGGTAAAAAAAAGCACATTAAAAGCATTGCTTTCAGATCCTAAATGAATAATGTTAAAAAAAATTTTTTTTTATTTAAAAATTAAATTAGGAAAGACCCACCCCCACCACATGCAGGGCTTTGAACTCATGAACCTTGAGATCATGACCTGAGCCGAAGGTGAACACTTAACTGACTGAGCCTGCCAGGCGCCCCTGAATAGTGTTTTTGAGACTTGATATACATAGATTTTTTTTTGAGGTTGGTTTGGAAATGAATGGTCCTATAATTCATCTGCTGTATAAAGGTAGTTGGGTTTTATCAGTTGTGTATTTTTAATAGGCTTATAAGCTCTGCCTTTTTTATAAATGTCTATTTATTTTGAGAGAAAGACCATGCATATGAGCAGGGGAGGGTCAGAGGGAGGGAGGGAGGGAGAGAGAGAGAGAGAGAGAGAGAGAGAGAATATGAATGAATATCCCAAGCAGGCTTCATGTTCAGTGCGGAGCCTGATGCTGGGGCTTGATTTCACAAACCATGAGATCATGACCTGAGCCAAAATGAAAAGTTGGAAGCTTAGCCGACTGAGCCACTCAAGCGCCCCTAAACCTCCCTACTTTGATCATAGACCCCTTTGAAAGTTTGGTAAAAGTTAATTCAAATATATAATTTTGCTTATAAGTCAGTGGTTTCTTAAGACCTCTAAAACTTCTCTCTTGAAAACCTGTTCTTTTCCTCCTCTCTGTCACACTGTTGACAAGGTCACTTTTTTTTTGTTTGTTTTGTTTTTGAGACATATACAATCTAAGTTGCATATAACTCCCATAAGTTGTAATGTAACTTTGTAGCTTTTCTAAAATTTGTCCTTGAGGGGAACAGAGTCTTTAGTAGAGCATGGATTCTGGAGCCAAACTGCCTGTGTGATCAAGTAAGGCAAGTTAACCTTTCTAGGGTCAGTTTTGTCTTGTAGGATGAGGATAATAATTGTACCACATTCACAGGGTTGGATTAGATGGAGGGGCTCCTGCTTGAGGCCAGAAGAAGGTTGATCCTTGAGTTTGTGCAGTTACCAACTTTATCAGAAAATGCAGCATAGTAAATTGTTGGCCCGATCCTGTAGGTTCTGGTTTTGACACCATATATACTGTCCATAACCATAAAATCCTGTTAATTTGAGCCACAAAATAAAACCTTAGTTGACTTAGTGTAAGATGTTTTTTAATTCTTTGTTTTAAAAAGCTATAGTGGAATTTGCTGTGTCAGCTGTCATGTATATCTTGTATTTAGGAGAACTTGGCAAAATTTGATTGAATCTAATTCTTTTCTCCCCAGAGTATCTTTAGAAGATCTGTATAATGGCAAGACAACCAAACTACAACTTAGCAAGAATGTACTCTGTAGTGCATGCAGTGGGTAAGTGTGTGTTCTAGTTTATAAAATGCATTTCATCTGATCTTTCAGTGGTACATTTAGTCTCTACCAGGTAAAAATTGTTCATGATTTAAACTACCCAACTCAACATTTTCTGATACTTCTGAAAGTCCATTTAAATACTGGTCATTGGGTGTTGAGAAGATGAAGTTGAAAAGCACAATTCTTGTTTTCCATGACCTATTGGAATGGTCTATGGGCAAAAATCTAATTTACACTTTTGCTTGCTTTAGCCAAGGTGGAAAGTCTGGAGCTGTTCAGAAGTGTAGTGCTTGTCGGGGTCGAGGTGTACGCATTATGATAAGACAGCTGGCTCCGGGAATGGTACAACAGATGCAGTCTGTGTGTTCTGACTGTAATGGAGAAGGTATGCATGCCAGTACTTCTCTGCTTTTATGTTGAAATGGATTGGGAATGCAGGAATTGGAGAGGCTTATATTTTTTCTTTTTAACATGTGTATTCATACAGTTCCAAAAGAAAAAATGAAAATAATTATTATGTATAGGCCCAATGAACACAAATAGTAAGTTTACGTTACGTTCAGTGAAATGTTAGTCTTTTTTAGTTCCAAAAGGATGGGCAAAGTTTTTTGTCCCTTTATATTTTTAAAGGTTATATTTGAGAAGGAGGGAGATAGCAACAGATTGTACTGTAAGCTGCTAGCTTTTAAGGGTAGTTACAGGGATTGAAGTCCTTCTCACAGAAGTAAATACTTTAGGCTTTGAATGTCTTTGAAATACTTAGGCTCAGAATGGTTTTTGAAACTACTACTCACCCCTATCCTTGTAATGCTTTTATAGCCACAGACAATATATAACTAAATGGGCATGACTGACTTCCAGCTAAACATTTCTTAGAAAAACAAGGGCATACCCAATTTGGCCTGTGGGTTTTAGTTTGCCAGACCCTGTTGTAGAGCAGTGCTATCTAATACAATTTTTCTACAATAACGGAAAAATACTGTATATGCAATGTCTAGTATGGTAACCATTAGCCACCTGTGGCTATTGAGTACTTGAAATTTAGCTAGTGTAACTGAGTAACTGAATTTTTAATTTTAATTAATTTAAACTTTAAGTAGCCACAAATGGTTGGTGGCTACCACACTGAAAACAGTTCTAGAGCATGTTTTTCCAAATTGCTCCAGGAAGTGATGAGATAATGGAGAAACTACATATTATATTCCCTTCCTGTAACGTCTCAGTGCACTTTACCTTATTAAAATTTCTAACAGTTTCTGCCATCAAGAACCAAGTTTACTGAAATCTTTTCCTGTGTACCACTACCATTGTGAGGAACTGGTGTTCTACAGAACATACTTTTTGAAAGCAGTGTTCTAGAAACAGTCCCCGAGGTCATTAATTATATGTGTCATCTAAGCATTAATGTGTGCCAATAATCAGCCATCAAAAATCAATGATATTTTTTCATAATAAGTTATGTACAACTTCATGTTTACTTCATTATACCACTAATTAAATGTTTCAGAAGAATGCATAGAAAAGCTGTGTTGTTCTAAACATGGTATGGAGATACTCAGTGTCAGATAAAATTCAGCCATCTCTTCTTTGGTTTTGGAAATTGTCATTGATAGTGCACCTAAATAAAAGGAAGATCCATAATAGGACACCTGAGCAGGGGTTAGTCTATGAAATAAATAAAATCCAGTACCGATTATACAATGTAATAATGATCCATAAAGGGTATTTAAATTTTTATTTGGGTTGTCTCTGACAGAGTTAAACCTATATGAAACTAAGACTGAAAACAAAAAATGAAGAAGCACTTGTAGAAGCTTTAGCATTTGACCACGCATTTTGTTTCCTTGTTGATCCTTGGACTTTGTTTTAAATTTAGGAGATGAGTCAGCCAAGAAAGTGTATTTTAAAATACATTATACTCTGAAATAGAGGAGACTGGGTAGTAAGATGCAAGTTTCTGTTACTAAGAAAGATAGTTTAAACAAAACTTTAGATAGCAGTTAGATTCGGAACGTTTATTTAATGAATAAAAGCATTATCAAGACGTATCTTAAGAGTGCGGTATGGTTCTCTTGCTGGAAGTTTGAATGACCTCTCTTTCTAGGAGAGGTAATTAATGAAAAGGACCGCTGTAAAAAATGTGAAGGCAAGAAGGTGATTAAAGAAGTGAAGATTCTTGAAGTCCACGTAGACAAAGGCATGAAACATGGACAGAGAATTACATTCACTGGGGAAGCAGATCAGGCCCCAGGAGTGGAACCAGGAGACATTGTTCTTTTGCTCCAAGAGAAGGAACATGAGGTAATTTCCTTTTTGTTTGTTTGATTTTTGTTTTATGCAGAAATGAGTCTTTTGCTCAAGGTACGGGTTAGATCTTTTTGGGTTCTCTGGAACAACTTTGAACTTAAATGAAGTTGTTAAGTGCTTGGGCTGAGTTCATAAGAACTGACTAGTAGACCAACAAGCCAGGTGCAGTCAGAAGCACTGAAAAGGAGTCAGTTTTGGTTGCAGCTCAGCCATTGATTACACTGTAATTGTAAGTAATCCTGTTGTTTCTGTACCCCAGTTTCCTTATTTATGAAAATAAGGGCATTGGACCAGATGATCTAAGGCAGCTTATTTTTCATTGTGAAACTCCTTTGATTGGTGTTGAATGGTGGATAGATAGGGCTTCAGTCCTCAGTGCTTTTCTGTTGAATTGTTTTACATGTTGGGTTAACCAAGTGACCTTTTCTTGATAGAAAAAGTACTACAGTTTAAAAAAAATTTAGTCTGTTCTTATGTTGTATTTTAGGTTCAAGGCATAATTAACTGGTCCAACGATGTGGTCTAGTGTATATTCTTTTGATTATATCATTGCACCTCTATTTTCTGACGTGCCATATAGTATAGTATGAGCCTTTATTTTTTTTACGAGCCTGTTGTTATTTTTCTTTGTTTAATGTTTATTAATTTTTGAGAGAGGGCATGCTAGCAGGGGAGGGACAGAGAGAGAGGGAGACACAGAATCCGAAGCAGGTTCCAGGCTCTGAGCTGTCAGCACAGAGCCTGACGTGGGGCTTGAACCCACAAACCGTTGAGATCATGACCTGGGCCAAAGTCGGACACTTAACTGACTGAGCCACCCAGGTGCCCCTGTGAACCTTTATTCTTTTATTTTTTTTTTTTTTTAATAACTTCTTGTCACATTAGCTAACATACAGTGTATACAGTGTAGTCTTGGCTTTGGGAGTAGATTCTCATGATTCATCACTTACATGAAACACCCAGTGCTCATCCCAACAAGTGCCCTCCTCAGTGCCCATCTTCCATTTTCCCCAACTCCCCAGCCCCATCAACCCTCAGTTCTCTGTATAATACCCTCCAGGGGTGCCTGGGTGGTTCAGTGGGTTAAGTGTCCGACTTCAACTCAGGTCATCATCTCGCCGTTTGTGAGTTCGAGCCCCACGTCAGGCTCTGTACTGACAGCTCAGAGCCCGGAGCCTGCTTCAGATCCCGTGTCTTCCTCTCTGTCTCTGTCCCTCCCCCACTCTCTGTCTCTCTCCAAAATAAATAAACATTAAAAAAAAATTAAACATGATTATAAAAATAAAAATAATACCCTCCAGTTCCATCCATGTTGCAAATGGCAAGATTTCATTCTTTTCCATCACTGAGTAGTATTCCATTGCGTGTGTGTGTGTGTGTGTGTGTGTGTGTGTGTGTGTATGTATGTATGTAGATACATACACACACATATGTATGTAGATACATACACACACACCGCACATCTTCTTTATCCATTCATCAGTTGATGGACATTTGGGCTCTTTCCATACTTTGGCTACTGTTGATAGCTCTGCTATAATAGCACATGCTCTTCACATGTGCCCCTGTGAATCAGCACTCCTGTACCTTTTGGATAAATTTCTAGTAGTGCTATTGCTGGGTTATAGGGCAATTCTATTTTTTAACTTTTTGAGGCACCTCCACACTGTTTTCCAGAGTGACTGCACCAGTTTGTATTCCCACCAAAAGTGCAAGAGGGTCCCCTTTTCTCCACATCCTCGCCAACATCTGTTTCCTCAGTTGTTAATTTTAGCCACTCTGACTGGTGTGAGGTGGTATCTCAGTGTGGTTTTGATTTGTATTTCCCTGATAATGAGTGATGTTGAGCATCTTTTCATGTGTCTGTTAGCCATCTGTATATCTTCTTTGGTCTTTGGAGAAGTGTCTATTCATGTCTTTCATTTTTTGATGGGATTATTTGGTTTTCAGGTGTTGAGTTTTGTAAATTCTTTATAGATTTTTGATACTAACTCTTTATCTTATATGTTATTTGCACATATCTTGTCCCGTTCCATTGGTTGCCTTTTAGTTTTGTTGATTGTTTCCTTTGCTGTGCAGAAGCTTTTTATCTTTATCTTGATGAGGTCTCAGTAGTTCATTTTTGCTTTCGTTTCCCTTGCCTCTGGAAACCTGTCAATTAAGAAGTTGCTGCGGCTGAGGTCATAGAGGGTGCTGCCTGTTTTCTCTTCTAGGATTTTGATGGTTTCCTGTCTCATGTTTAGGTCTTCCATCCATTTTGAATTTATTTTTGTGTATGGTGTAAAAAAGTGGTCCAGGTTCATTCTTCTGCATGTTGCTGTCCAGTTCTCCCAGCACCATTTGCTAAAGAGACTGTCTTTTTTCCATTGGATATTCTTTCCTGCTTTGTCAAAAATTAGTTGGTCATACATTTGTGGGTACATATCTGGGTTCTCTATTCCATTGGTTTATGTGCCTGTTTTTGTGCCAGTACCATCCTGTCTTGATGATTACAGCTTTGTAGTAGAAGCTAAAGTCCAGGATTGTGATGCCTTCTGCTTTGGTTTTCTTTTTCAACATTACTTTGGCTATTTTGGGTCTTTTGTGGTTCCATACAAATTTTAGGATTGTTTGCTCTAGCTGTGAGAAGAATGCTGGTGCTATTTCAATTGGGATTGCATTGACTGTGTAGACTGCTTTGGGTGGTATTGACATTTTAACAATAATTTGTTCTTCCAATCCATGAGCGTGGAATGTTTTTCCATTTCTTTGGGTCTTCATTTTCTTTCCTAAGCTTTCTGTAGTTTTCAGTGTGCAGATCTTTTACCTCTTTGGTTAGGTTTATTCCTAGGTACCTTATGGTTCTTGGTGCAGTTGTAAAAAGCCTTTATTCTTGAAAGCTGTATCTGGAGCTATTCAGGAAACTTGTTTAGTAATCACCCAGATTCTTGACTATAAAAGCCTTTGACGGGGTTCTGGCATTACTTGATCTCGTTGACTTGAGTTTCTCTGAAGGTCTTTATATCACAAGTCACCACTTTATTAGTTTACACTAAAAATTTCTCCCATTTGATGGTGATTTCTACAAATAAATTTTGAAAATCACGGGGTGCCTGGGTGGCTCAGTTGGTTGAGTGTCTGGCTCTTAATTTGGGGTCAGATTATAATCTCATGGTCATGAGATCAAGGCCTGTGTTGACACAGAGACTGCTTGGGATTCTCTCCCTCCCTCTCCCTATCCTCACTCTCTCTCTCAAAGTAAATAAAACTTAAAGAATCGAATCTAATAGAGAATAAAGCCATATTGAGACGCAGATTCTGGGAATTTGATTAGATCAATTCCCATGCTAGGTTGTGGCTTGCTCTCCTTTGTTTTTCTCAGGGCAAATTTCTTGCCTTGGCAAAACTATAAATTACTATCTACATCTAGGCCCTTTGTGGATATTGCTAATCCTGCAAATATCAAAGGCTTCTTGATTGCTAAAAAAACAGTAATTCCTAGAATTCTGTCTTAAGGTCTTATAGGTTGAAATATTTGTAACTCTAGATTCTCTGTTAATTGGTATTTTAGCTACTTCCTCATTTGTTCAGTCATGCCTTTCATGCACACCACCATACAAAGGATGAAGGCAGAAAGATAGCCAAGTAATTGAGATGTTTATAAGCTTTATAGTATGCTTGGGTATAAACTGTATTTTGAGATGGTTCAGACAACACGTGTGTATTTTCGTTGCTATATCCTTGGAACAGTTACCAAATGATGTGTGGCACTGTAGTAGCGGGAGAGTAATGGGGAAGTTAAGTAATGCTTATTTGGCGGAGAGTTTTTGGTATGTCAGACTAATGGTGAAATCTTTTTTTTTTTAACCCTTATATTCATTCTTTAATGTTGCTACATAATTAAAAAAAAAAAATGTTTATTTTGAGAGAGAGCACAGGCGGGGGAGGGGCAGAAAGAGAGGGAATGAGAATCCTCCAAGCAGGCCCTGTACTAACAGCATGGAGCTCCATCTCAGGAACTGTGAGATCATGACCTCTGAGCCAAAATCAGGAGTCTAATGCCTAACTGATGTTTCTAATGTTGCTACATAATTACATGGAAATTTTTTAAATGAAGATTACTGGATTTGGAGACAAGGACTTAAGTTCTGACTCCCCATTTACTAGCTTTGGGATCCCTGGGCTTGGCTTGGCTTTACTAAATACAAAGATAGGCCTCCCTTAAAAGGATATTGTAGAATCAAATGAGATCATGAATAAGCTACTTTTCTTTCTTAGGGCTATGGGGAGGTATTTGGAAGAAGGTCACCTCTTAAAATTGTTGGAAGGTGTGGATTGTATGGAATTTCCAACAGACAGCAGATGTAACTGTGTAAAGTAGAAAATAAGATGGTAGAGGTTAGAGTGGAAGTTCAGCTAGAAAGAGGTCAAAGATTTGGTTTTATTATGACCAATAAAGTAAATTTGAGCCCAGGGTGGGATTTAGGCATCTTGTTTCGTTTATACCACTGGAAATATTAACCTCCTTTTTTTTTTTTTTTTTTTTTTTTTTTTTTTTTTAATGTTTATTCATTTTTGAGACACAGAGTGCAGGCAGGGAAGGGGCAGAGAGGGAGGGAGACACAGAATCCAAAGCAGGCTCCAGGCTCTGAGCTGTCAGCACAGAGCCCGACGACGTGGGGCTCAAACCCATGAACTGTGAGATTATGACCTGAGCTGAAGTTGGACACAACCGAATGAGCCACCCAGATGCCCCAAAAATATTAACCCTCTAAGAAAAGTTGGGTAGTCTCAACTAGTTCATGAAAAAGCTTGTAGTTCTTTTGTTAGGGGCTTTTTTCTTTTATTTTCTCCCCCCCACTCCCAACAGTTGTGCTGAAGGAATTATGAGGCCATGAGATTAGGGTGGGTGCTGTTAGCTGAAACAGTATAAATCTTCTGATCAAAAAACATTTGATTTTGAGAGTGCAGTAAATCATGTGTATTCATCTTTCAGTACAGGTGTGTATCTGTTCTGGTGTTATGGCTACCATTGTGCATTTGCATAGCAAAAAATCACCATATCTGGTGATGTTAGTCCCTTCTCTGTTCTCTGTACCTTTGTTTTCCAGAAATTCTTACTGCTTTTAAGTCTTTTACTATCTGGTTCTTGGTTTTTAATTAGTTGTTTTTTATTTATTTTTGAGAGAGAGTATGTGTAAGCGGGTGAGGGACAGAGAGAGGAAAATAGAATCTGAAGCAGGTTCCAGGCTCCAAAGTTATCAGCACAGAACCTGATGTGGGGCTCGAACTCATGAACTCTGATATCATGACCTGAGCTGAAGTCAAACACAACCGACACTAAACAAAAGGACACTCAACCGACTGAGCCACCCAGGGGCCTCTAATTAACATGGTTTTTAAAAAATTGCCTGAGTGTCCTTGCTTGTTTATTCTGTTTGAATTTTAGCACCAGGTTTTCTAATCTACTCACCTGTCCACTAGTCCCTGCCACCACCACCCCCCCGTCGCCTTGATATCATTTTTAATTGGAATCACTTTAAGTTGAGCTCTTATATCCAGGAGCATGGTGTCCCGTCTTATTTCTTTTTTTTTTTTTTAAAGTTTATTTTGAGAGAGAGTTTGGGGGGGGGGGGGGGGGGAGGGAGAATCCCAAGCACCTCATTGTTAGCGCTCGCACTCACAAACCATGAGATCATGGCCTGAGCCAAAATCTAGAGTCAGATGCTTAACTGACTGAGCCACCCAGGTGCCCCTTGTTCCCTATTTCTAATGTAGTTTTAACCAAAGGATATTTGGTTATAGATGGTTCTTGGAACAATAATATTATAAGATGTTTAGAAACACTAACATTTTATAGATATTAAAGCATTAAAACATTCTGCATTGAAGAATCCTTATTGAACTTAATTTTTTCACCCATTGTGAGAAATACTTAAAGAAATGCACATAGGTAACATACATTCAGTGGTTCTCAACTTTTACATACATTAGAATCACCTGGTGTTTCTTTTTTTTTAATTTTTTTTTTAACGTTTATTTATTTTTGAGACAGAGACAGAGCATGAATGCAGGAGGGTCAGAGAGAGAGAGGGAGACACAGAATCTGAAACAGGCTCCAGGCTCTGCACTGTCAGCACAGAGCCCAAAGAGGGGCTCGAACTCACGGACCTGGGCCGAAGTCGGACGCTTAACCGACTGAGCCACCCAGGCGCCCCTGAATCACCTGGTGTTAAAACTAAAGATTACTAGGCCCTACCTCCATAGTTTCTGATGCAGTAGGTATGGGGTGTGGCCCAAGAATGTGCATTCCTAACAAGTTTCCTGGTGCTGCTGAGGCTGCTGGTTCAGGACCACTGATCCAAGATAATGGTTTGAGATTAACTTTTCTTCATGGGTAAATTTAGGAGGATAATTTAGGAAAAGAGGATATCTTTTAGATTTCCACTTTTTCCTGAATTAGCCAGCATTGTTTTTTTGGAAGAGACTATTTTGTATTGAAAAAAATCTTAGTGACCTTTCATTGTAAATTTTGTTTCATCCTAAATCTCAAAGGCTAAGTATAGATATTTGTAAATTTTTTTTTTTTTTTTTTTGAAAGAGAGTGTATGCGAGCAGGGGAGGAGCAGAGAGAGGTAGAGAATCTTAAGCAGGCTCCACATTCCTCACAGAACCTGAAGTAGGGCTTGATCTCAACCATGAGAAGGACCTGAGCCGAAATCAAAAGTCAGACACTTAACTGACTGAGCCACCCAGGTGCCCTGATATTTGTAAATTCTAATAAGCAAAAATTGTAAGTCAGGTATGTGTGAAGTTGGATATATTTTTCCTATACATTAAAAGCTCAGAAACATATTTGATGTTTCTTGAATAATCATTGCATTACCTAGTCAATAGGCTTATAGTGTAATTAGTCACCCTTAGCATTTGCTGTTTGATTTACATTCACCTAAGCAAATTTTGAATTTTAGATGATATAAAACTTCTTTGTACATGTGTGTGAGCCCGTTTACTGGCTGAACATTACTGGTTGAACTTTATGTTGAATTTGGACTCTCCCCTTTACCTGTTAGGATCACGTCTGGGGAACAGTCCTAAGGTGAACCTGTTCTACAGAATCTTACTGGACTGTCTGCACCATTTTTTTTGCTCAGAGGCAGAGTCAGGAAATGGGCCACAATTGCAGAATATACCTGGTTCTGTTTTTTGTAGCCTCAGCCTGCCTTATGAGCCATTGTTTTCTTGATTCCAGTGCTTTTCTGACAGAATTTTCTAGCATATTAAGTGAAAATAGCTAGGTTTCCTTATGTAAATTTAGGGAATTAGGGATGATGACAGTTTGGCTTTTACTATGAATGGTAGAATTAAGGTTTTGAAATTATTTCAAGGAGCACAGCACAACAGGTCATGGCTCCGTACTTTTTAAAAATGTTTTGTGTGGTTTATTTGTAGGTGTTCCAGAGAGACGGGAATGATTTGCACATGACATACAAGATAGGACTTGTTGAAGCTCTGTGTGGATTTCAGTTCACATTTAAACACCTTGATGGACGTCAGATTGTGGTGAAATACCCCCCTGGAAAAGTAATTGAACCAGGTAGATCTTGATTTTTGTTTGACCCAGGATTCCATGTGTTCTTTTGTGATTTTTAATTTTTTATAGCTAGTGACTCTCAAAAGAATTATTGAGTACCTTCTTGAATAAATTCTAGAGTTTCCTTTTTACTCAATAGGATGTGTCCGTGTAGTTCGAGGTGAAGGAATGCCACAGTATCGTAATCCCTTTGAAAAAGGTGATCTATACATAAAATTTGATGTGCAGTTTCCTGAAAACAACTGGATCAACCCAGACAAGCTTTCTGTAAGTGTTCTCTAAGCAGCAGATAACTTAAAGTTTAATAATAGTTGCTTTTCTTTGTTACCGTTCATTTGTTTTTAGTGCTAAGATTAGAACACATAATTTATAAAATTTTACTTTTTTAACATTTGAGTGATTGTTGGGCCGTTCTGGTGGTTATTAAATGCGAGTCTTGCTGGTGTAAATGTTGACAGGGCCAAGCAGGGAATAGTAAAGAAGTAAAGCAGACTGGGTATGAGTTGGTGTTGGGAGGATTGGGGCTCTCTGGAGACCAGATCCCTCACCTGAAAAGGCATCCAACATATCATAGTATGCCATCTTAGCATCTTTTAGCTGTTCTATGCGGGAAGGCACGTCTCATGTGAAATCTTTCAGTGTTTTAATGTTGGGAACTGATTCTGGCTTTTTATTTTCTAAGTAGTAGTTGGGTTGTACAAAAGATTTCTGCAGATTTGGCCTGTGTGTCATCAGTTTGTGATCTCTGGCTTTAAGTGCACATAGGTTGACCTATCTTAACTCTCAAGCATATATCTTGGATTGTATCCAAAGGAAAGTTGAAGATATTTCCTAGCTAATCTGTGTTTTGTTTTAATGAAGGAACTAGAAGACCTTCTGCCATCTAGACCAGAAGTTCCAAACATCATTGGAGATACAGAGGAGGTAGAGCTTCAAGAATTTGATAGCACTCGGGGCTCAGGAGGTGGTCAGAGGCGTGAAGCCTATAATGATAGCTCTGATGAAGAAAGCAGCAGCCATCATGGACCAGGAGTGCAATGTGCCCATCAGTAAACTCTGCAAACAAATTGCACAGGTGGATTTTCTTTCCACATTTGCTCGGTTTGCTTTCAGCTATCCAGCTGGAGTGTCTGGTCAATCCAGATGAACTGATGGACATCTGTTGGTCTATGTGTAACTTTTAAAATTGGTATAGTATCTACAGAGTGTATAATTTAAACTAACCACAAAGCTTTACATCTTCATTTTGACTGTTCTGTAGCAGAATAAAGCACTTGAAAGGAAACAAGACTCCCTTTCACACATGGGTTATAAGTTTCAGTCCTGGTATCTGTGCTTGATTTTTATCAGTTTTGTGTAGATTTTATGTTCATATTTTAAATCCAAATCCCACATTGTAAAGTTTGTGTACAATTTGTCCTGAAGCTTTGTGTTTGGCTGCACCTGCGTAAGCTGCTACAAATAGAATAAAGAATTTCATAGCCTGTATCTATCATTTAGATGCATGGAAAAATGGGCTTTGCACACAATGGGTTTGGAGCTGACTGGGAACAATGGAGAAAATAACATTAGCTGTGGTTGTAAAGTTTTTTTTTTTGTTTTGTTTTGTTTTTCTTTCCCCCCTCTTTTTTTTTTTAACCATCTTGTGAAAGGTTTCTGAGACTCAATAATAAAAAGCAGTTGGTATAAATTATTCTTTGTGTCACATTTTTAGAAGGAAAAACATACTTTGAACTGTAAAATGTATCTTTAAGCTGGAGAATGTATCCTTCATTCTGGTTCTTAAGCAGCCCTTAAAAGCCCATTGGCCTGAAGCTTATGCTTCAGGTACATGCCCATTTTATAGTTTTAAAAGGCAAAAAGAAAGTTTGACATGTTGGTAAAAACAGGCTTTATTGGCTTCAACTGATGCTTTGTACAGTCAAGGACATCTGAGTTCTGTAACTCGTAAGTTATAATCCTGAGCATTGGGGCCAGGTTAACCTAGCCGCTGTATTTCCCCACCACCTCCCCCTTTTAAAAATAAGGTAACAGCAAATCAATATTAGAACCATGTCTGCATAGAACCTGTTAAAATGCTCTGTTTTCATTAAATGTTAAGTTAAAGATTCTCTGTCTCCATTAAGTTGAATATTTGAAATTGGGGGAAGCATCGATTACTAATGTTTTATAGAAAAGTAAGACTCTTAGGCTGGTATGAGAAAAATCAGGTAAAACTATGAAAAGGATGTTGTGTTGCTCTTTCCATCTTCTACTACCTTTTCATTCCCAGAGTAGATATTTTTAGAACACACTTTAATTTTAGGGAAAAGAGACATCAGTTATACATTTTACATTTGTAAAAGAACAAATGGGGAAAACTGAAAACTAAAAAATGTATTATGCCATCCCTGAGCCTAAATACAGTACTTGTAGTTTATTTCTAGGCCTACTAGATAACCTGAATGGTGGGTGGGTGGGGGTGGGATGTCAGGAAGTGTCCTGGCATTAATCAAGGCCTGTGAGGATTAAATTATTGCCCTATCCACTCTACCTCCATTGTACAAAAAATATTTTACAACCAGCCTGGGCAAGATTCAACAGCATAGTAGTTTTGTATCCAAGGTTACTTCCCCACAACCACTTTAAGGTTAAGAAATGCAGTGGCAATATGAAGTTTGTAGCCTTTCCAATAAAGGTTTATAAAACATTAGAGTTGTTCAGTGTAGTCTTTCTTTTAATTCTACTCAGGTTTTTTGGCCATAGCAAAGAAAACCATATGGAAGGAGAATAAAACCTTGTTGAGATCTGTTATTTCACTCAGTTGTGCTCTGCTTTTGTAGAGCACCTGCTTACAGAATAAGCATGTATAGTATCAACAGCACAAAGAGTCTTTTCAGTAACTTTATTGAAATAACAATTCATAAGCCATTAAATCTACCTTTTTATAGAAGGTGTATGACTCCGTCGTTTCCAGTATATTTCTAGAGTTTGCAACCACCACCATAGTCTAATTCCAGAACATTTTCATTGCCCTAGAAAAGAAACTCCAAGGGGTGCCTGGGGGGCTCAGTAGGTGAAGTGTCCAACTTCTCACATCATGATCATGGCTCGTGAGTTCGAACTCCACATCTGGCTCTGTGCTGACAGCTCAGAGTCTGGAAACTGGGTTTCTGTGTCTCCCTCCCTGCCCCTCCCCTGCTTGCATTCTGTCTCTCTCTCCGAAGTGAATAAACATTTAAAAGAATTAAGAGACCCCAAATCCATTAGCAGTCACTCCCCATTCCGTTCCCCACCTCCCATTTCTAAGGATTTGTCTGTTGGACATTTTATATAAAATGGAGTCAACAATATGTGGCCTTTTGTAACCTGTTCATTATGTTTTCAAGGTTCATCCCTGTCCTAGTATGTATCAGTTCATTTTTATTGCCAGTCTATTATATAGCTAGCAATACCACGCATTTGTTTTCACATCTATCAGTTGGTGGACATACGTTTTTTATTTCCACTTGAATAATGAATTATTTTAAATCTATACCCAGGAGTGGAATTGCTGGGTCACATGGTGTTTAATCTTTAGAAAAACTGCCAGATTTTTCCAAAAAGCCTGCACCATCTTATAGTCCTACCAGAAATAGATGAGATTTCAATGTTTCCACATTAACTGCCAACACTTGTTAGTATCTGGCTTTATTATAGCCACCTTAGTGGGTAATGAAGCGGTTTTTGCCTTTGTCTAAGGTCTAATGATGTTAGGCATCTTTTCATGTGCTTACTAGCTATTTGTATATCTTTAGAGAAATGTATTCAAACCCTTTGCACCATACTTTATCCAGATTTTCTTAGTTTTTGTCTTTTTCTGTTCCAGGATATATTACATTTAGTCATGCCTTCGTAGGCTCCTCTTTGCTGTGACACTTACCAGACTTGCTTTGTTTTTGATGACCAACACAATTTTGAGGAATACTGATTAAGTTTTCTACAGAATGTCCCTTGATTACACGTGTAAAGTTGTTTCTTACATCACTAGCTGTAGGAAAAAATTAGTATAAAGAAAAACCTGTTTCCTCTGCTCATAACACTTCTGACAGTACCTGGGGTTGGTGTGGACCCCCCAGGTTAAAGTCTCAGTCCCACAAGACTGCCCTGACCTCAGTGTCCATCGTCAGTCCCAGGTTGTTGCCTGTACTTCTAGCTGGTAATAAATTGGGTTACCCACAACTGCCACTTCAGGTTTGATAATTTGCTACACTCATAGAAAACACTAAACTGTCAGTTATAAAGGATACAACTCAGGAGCTCCCAAAGGGAAGAGATGAATAGGGCAAGGGATGTGGAGTTTCCATGTCCTTTCTGAGCACATCACTCTCCCAGCACCTTGATGTGTTGTTCACCAATTTGAAGCTATCTGGAACCTACCCTTTAGGATTTTTGTGGAGGTTCCATTACATAGGCATAATTGATTAAGTTCATTGGCCATTTATGGGTTTATTTTTGTTGTCTCATTCAACTTTTGTTTTAATGGGTCTCAAGATTGACAGATTTTTGGCTAAATTGTTTCCATTAAGAAGTACTTATTTTAAAAATTAATAACCTAAAACTGCCACGCACACACAAAACACGGTTCACAAAACATTCTCCTTTTCTTCTGAACATTTTATGATGCATTGTTATAATTAACCAGTCTTTTACAATTAAACTTGAATGGTGTCATCAAAGTAGTGGACCAGGAGGCAGCTGGGCAGCTGGAGCTGGCAAGGTCACAACTATGCCCAGAGAGCTCACAAGGCTAAAAGAATATTATCCCTGATACCTGCCACCCTAATCTTAGTGGTGGAAGAATGGTCTCAGAACTGTGTCATCGGCCATTTGTGATCGGACTTAATCTTCAGCCTCTCTCTCAGGCTGGAGGTGGGACTGAAAGTTCCACCCCTGTAATCATGTGGTTGTTTCCTCTGGTAACCAGCTCCCAGCGTGTCCTACAAGAGTCATCTTATTAGCATAAACTCAGGTATGGTTGAAAGGATCTTGTTATGAATAAAAAACACACTCCTCCCACTCCTAGGCACTCCTCCCACTCCTATCAGGAAATTCCAAGGGTTTTAAGAGCTCTATGCCAGGAACCAAGAATAAAGACCAAATGCGTGTATTTTTATTCTACCACAATCTCACAGTATTATCTCAGTGAAACACTTCAGCACACACTGCTGCCTGTTAAAACTCTGTAAAGGCACATGTATAAAACTTGCTTCTAACAGACCTGCTTGCATGAATGAATCAGTCTAGTGTTCTTTCAGTGAAACATTGAGAAAGCTTGCTCCTACCATCTGCATACCATTTGCTTAGTTGTTGAATTCCAGTATACGTGTATAGTGGTAGCAGAACTATAAACACATGCCCACATGGGAAACAACTTTATCAACTAGCGTGGAGTACTAAGAATAGTTCCTTCTACCTTTAATTTTATAGATATCATTTCCAAAGTGACTTAGGTCAGTAACCTCACCCTCTTCAGGGAGACTATTTATTATGTTTGTAACATACTTAGGTTTTGTTGTGCTCTGCATTTCATCCTATGAACAACCCCCACCACCTCCTAGATGAGTTTTTTAAATCCGCATACATTAAACATCATTGAACTATAAAGTTCAGTGTTTTGATAAATGCATTGTCATGTATCTACTATTACAATGTCATACGGAATAGTGTGGCCACCCTAAAATAAATCCTGTGCTTCACCTATTCAACTGCCCCTCCCTGCTCCTGAACCCATGGCAACCACTTCTTACTGTTTGCTTTTCCAGAATTTCATATAATTGGAGTGAGCCAATTATAACTTTTCCAGACTGAATTTCACTTAGCAATATCCATTTAAGATTCATGCAATATCTTTTTGTGGCTTGATAACTCATTTCTTATAACTGCCAAATAAGATTCTATTGTATGGATGTACCACAGTTTATCTTTTTTTTTTCATTTTTTTAATGTTTTATTTTATTTACTTTTGAGAGAGAGAGAGAGGCAGAGTACAAGCAGGGGAGGGACAGAGAGAGAGAGGGAGACAAGGAATCCAAAGGCTCCAGGCTCCGAGCTATCAGCACAGAGCCTGACGCGGGGCTTGAACCTACAAACTGTGAGATCATGACCTGAGCTGAAGTCGGACGCTTAAGTGACTGAGCCACCCAGGTGCCCCCAACAGTTTATCTTTTATTAAGACACTTGATTTGCAAAATCTTTTTCCCATTACATGGGCTGTCTTCATTTTTTTTTTTTTTATTTTTTTTTCAAAGTTTTTTATTTATTTTTGGGACAGAGAGAGAGACAGAGCATGAACGGGGGAGGGGCAGAGAGAGAGGGAGACACAGAATCGGAAACAGGCTCCAGGCTCCGAGCCATCAGCCCAGAGCCTGACGCGGGGCTCGAACTCACGGACCGCGAGATCGTGACCTGGCTGAAGTCGGACGCTTAACCGACTGCGCCACCCAGGCGCCCCTGTCTTCATTTTTTTAATAGTGTCCTTTGAAGCACAAAGATTCTTAATTTTTAAGCCCAATTTATCTATTTTTTTTCTTTTGTTACTTGTCCTTCTGGGTCGTATAAAGAATTTTAACTAAAATATATAATACTGG